TGGGATCAGGTGCCATTGAGGAGTCAGCATCCCCAGCTGACCGGGCACATACGCCTTGTGCTTCTTGTCATGATCGGGAAATAACGGAGAAATCCGTCGTCAATTCATTGCAGAAATAATGGACTAACAATTGGTATGAAAAACGTCAGTCAGCATTTAACTCAATGATAAATTGTATTTGCTGACAAGGTCATTGTATCGAACATAGAACTTACGAAATGATGACTTTAAACAAGACTGCTGATATTCTTGTTTTATCAACCTGTTTGTCAAACATTTACCTCGTTTTAAAAATTGTTCGTACGTAGATCGTCCTCTTGCGTGTGTCATGAACTGAAATATATACATGTAGATGAAGGTATATTGCTGCGTATAAGTAAGGGAAGTAGACGATAAAAAAGTCAAAGTCATCACGTTCATCATATAGCTTGGCGGTTAGATTACCATTAACGTCTTTCTAAAGTAAAATATCCAAGTATGAAGCAGATGTGTCTGACTCTGTGGTATCTTTTATATCAAGCTCACCAGGATATATCGTGTCGACGTAGGAATGGAAATTACCATTGTTAATTGACAATACGTCGTCGATATCTCTTAATGTCGAGTAGAAGGCCACAGCAAGTGTTTTCTTCTTTTCACATATAAGATTTTGCACAAATTCTGCTTCATATGAATATAAAAATAGGTCTCCTAATAATGAAATCATCAACTTGATTAGTAGTTAAATTGTTTGTTTACAATAAATTCTTTTCTCTTTTCAAAAATAGTACCGAATCTCTTTCTATCATCAACTTCCTTTATGTATGCAGTAATACAGCAAAACACCTTTAGCACCTGTACATGCAGTTTATGTTTCCCAGTTGATTTAATATGCAAGAGCGTGCTCTACCTAGAAAAATTATCTAAAACGAGGTAAACTGACTAAAGACAAACAAATTGATGAAACAAAAATATCAATAGTCTCGTTTAAATTCCACTTTTTGCAAATTCTTTAGTCAATTCATTGTCCATGTCAGTAAAAAAAAGTTATCATTAAATCTGCTGATTGACGTTTTCTTTTATACAAAAGGTAAGGTTTTGATATTCACAATGAATTGTAACCATTTTTTGTTTACCCAGTCATTGTTAGGAGAGAACTGCGGCTGTGACGGATCATGCAAGTCATCGGCATGAAATGAAAACCCACTCTCTTTCTCTCTCTAAAGAGACGCACTCACAATTTTTTATTGAAACTTTTCCATTAGTTGCTCCTTGTGGAATTCACTTAACTAACCATATATGAAGATGCTGCAAAATTTATACCGTCAAACACCGCAAGAGCGATAACTCTTGCAACTGTAACAGATACATTACCAATATACATTAAGTATCTTAAGAAACACTCTTAATTAAAATTTCAAATGAGATAATAACTAAACTTTAGTGCTTTATCAATCTTATTTGTGTTATTTGACATGATTTGAACACATAGGAATAGTTTATGGCCATTCAACTATATCCATGAGTAATTCTTAACCTGATGTTTCTTTAAAGACCTTTAAAAGTATGCATGATCTTTTTACAGAGGCGAAAACTGGTTTCTGGTAGGAGGGCGTATTTAAAAACTGCATTTCTTTACTGACCTCCTCACCAGTTGCGAAGAAACAATTCGAAAGAAATGGTTTTGATATCTCTAACAGCAGGTCTATTAACAAATAAGTATTATTAAAAAGACGTTACGATAAATTACAGCTATAGGTGTCAAAACATTGGTGTGCTTTTTATAGGTGAAAAGGATTGATAAATTGTATATTGTTTAACGTCCTTCTCGAGAATTGTTCACTCATACGGAGACGCTGAAAAGGAAGAGCAAGATTTTAAAATTGCGAAATTTCCTTAACTGACTGTCCATATGTGAGGATGTTGCAAAACCCTTACAAACATAACAGAAACAATATCAATATACATTAGGTAATTTAAGAAACATTCAGAATTAAAATTTTGAAATGACATTATGACTAAATATTATGGTTTATGAATCTTATGTATTCTATTTAACATAATTTGAAAATATAGCAATATCTTATGGTCATTTAAAAATATCCATGAATATTTTTCAACCTGATGATGCTTTAAAGGCTTTTAAATGCTTGATATCAATGAATTACATTATCAACCCCCTTATAAAAAGAATTTTAATCAAACTAAAAAACTTTTGGCATGGTATCAAAACATTAATTAGTAATCAATCTCTAAGGATCTTTTCTATGCATTCAAAAAATTTAAGAATTGCATTGTCATTAATGTAAAATTGTAAAAAAAAAAAAAAAAAAAAAAAGTAGGCGGAATCGAAAAGCTGACTCAAAACGGAATTGTTGTAATCCTTGTAATTTCATATTATTTGTCATAAGATCGCTTGGTTTAATTCTAAAAATTGATCGAATTCAGAATATTTCCATTTCAAATTTTTCTCTCTGTGATAACTCTTTGAAAGTTAGCGGAGTTGATTTCTTGATAATTCTACCGGAATGTAAATTAGGCAGGTCGATAGGTCAGGAGCTAAGAAGGCCTAATATGCATGCGAATCTCATGCGCATCTGTCTCCGTTTCTGACGCTTAAGGAGGCCAAATATGCATGTAAATCTCGTGCGGCTGCCTTTGTGTTTGACATAAGTGGGCCAGGACTATAGAAATTGGCATGGGAGTCCTCGTGTAATTTAAATCTATGTCTACATTTTTAAGGTCTAAATCTACAATTTTATTTCATAATGAAATGGAAATATAAGGAATCACTGTCTAGTTAGTATAGAATGCCAGGGACATCAACAATAGTGGGAAACGTGGGATAATTTATGCATAAAGGGCTTCGCCCGTTATGCAAATTATCCCATGTTTCCCACTGTCGTTATGCCCTGGCATACTATACTAACTAGACAGTGATTCCTTAAGCATACTCTTGCAATTTTTGGAAAACATGTTGATGAGACAAGTATGTCAACAGACTCGTTTACAGTCATGACTTTGCAAGTTCTATGGTCGATACAATGACCTTGTCAACAAATACAATTTATCATAGAGTCAAATGCTGGCTGACGTTTCTCATACTAATTGTTAGTGCATTATTTATGACTGAATTGACGACCGGTCGGCAGTGGATGCGCACTCCTCCATGGCACCTGAACTAGAATATACAATTAAGTCAAATACTGTCTGACGTTTTTCACTCTAGTTGAAAGGGCATTATTTCATACTAAATTGTCTACGGACTTTTTCACTATTTCGCGATCATGTCAAGAAACACAGCGGGTGTAGCTGTTCAGCAGGCCTCTCACTCTATTGAATACATTCATTATCCCTCCTCTGATGCTTAATTGGCCCGTGTTTGTTTTATTCCTGATTTGTATTCTTTAAATGGAATTTAGAGCTTGAACACCGTTTGTTATCTCCTATATATTTCAAACTAGTATAGAGGGGACTGAAAATGAGTGCCGAAAAATTTGAGTCACAACTACGTCTGTTATATTGTATTTATCTTAATTTTTTAAAAAGTGTGCTATACAATTAAATTTATTTTAGACAAACATCAAATATGATAGGCTATCTATATGTAAAATGCTGTTAATTATTATCTCAGTTTTGACATTTTTTAAATTAATACTATACATAATCATCAGAAACCGCATCCCTTTTCCTCGCAAAGAAATTGACTTATAAAGTATGCATGGTCTTTTTTCTGAGCTGAAAACTGGTTTCTGGTAGGAAGGCGAATTTAGAAACTGCCGTACCTTCATCACCTCTTCAAAAATTGCTAAAGAATAAAATTGAAAGAGGTGGTTTAGATATCTGTAAAGATAGGTCTATTAACAAATACCAGTAAGTATTATTATAGAAGATATTATAATAAATTTCAGTGATGTGTGTCAAAAATGGTGTGCTTTTTGTTGCCAAAAAAGGAAGAACAATTATTAAAACAAATAGAATCAGAGAGGGAACACTCACATTATTTTTGCAAATAGAAGCCAGAGCTTCAAACAGGTCTTATACACGTTTTCCCTTAAGTAAAGATGTCCGATGTTAAATAAATCTACATGAAAAGACAGGACAATCTTTTATAGTCTTTTTGTGTTAAATTGCCTTTGAGTAAAGTTCAGCATCTTTTCTGTGAGGGAAGTCCAAATGCCTTCCCCAATTTAATTTGCTTGTTTCTGACATGCTGCTCCTAATAAGCTTAGAGGAATGAGAGAACTTTTGAAGAGACGAACGTTTACAAAGCCTAGGCATTTGCTAAATCTCCGTCCTTGCGGGATCTTTTTATTCATAATACATTAAAAATGAATCAAAGAATTTAAAGAATTTACAATTTTTTGGTATATTACGGAGAGTGCTTTCCAAAAGTGTCTTTTGGGCATCCCTAGAAAGTGTATGATGAGGTGTTCCGAACATGGGAATAAAGCCTTAAGACATGTGTACAGGTTAACTGTGAATTTTTTCAAGGATAAAAAATATATAGAACTACCCCTTGAGCTTTCTTTTACTTGCATTACTTATGGAAAGAACCTCGTATGACATGTATAAAATTTCATATCACAATTAAGAAAAGCAACTGAACTGTTAGTTTTATGAACATCTGTTTTGAATTGATTATTGTATTATCACAGCTATTATTGTTTCACAGAAGTTAGAAAAACAGGTCAGGAATCTTTTTAGAAGATTGAAATATACATCCCGACAGCAAATTTCTTTGATCTAATCAGAACCAAATTATAGAGATGATAAGGTAGAGAATGAAAATAATACAAAAAATTAAATCGTATTTTACAGAAAAAAACTGTTTTTAAAGTCGTCAAAAAGTTAAGAGCTATGGACAGCAAGTTACGCTGACTTATTTATGACATGGCAAATAACATATGTCGAGAAAGAAAACACTCGAAAAGAAATCGTACTCATTATGAGATATTTACAATCAGCTTCAGGTCCTTAAGTCAAAATGATGATTCTTAACTCAATCTGTTGCAACTGTGTATATCTAAAAGAGGAGAGTTTTAGCATACAAACCACTTCTTCTGGATCAGGAGAAAAAAATCAGTAAGTTAACCCATCTTTGAAATTAATAAAATTTATTTGTATGAAAGACATTTTATCATTTTTTCATTGATTCACAATGTGTTATATTTTATTTTGTTCGATTCACAATGTTTGTAAACAGAGACATATGAACATATTTTTTTGTTTTCGTTATGAATCTCTAAAGCTAATTCATCCCCAACATCATCGTAACGAACGGTTATGATAATAATAATTATTAAAGATTTTTTTTGTATTGATGAGAATTTGTTTTTAATTAAAGAAATGATCATAGAAGTCTTAATGTTGACGCTTTATTGTTTGGCATCGTTGGTGGAGGGAAAAACAAGACTGTCACCGCGTCCAAGTCTGGAAGATTTCCGGAAGGACTATGTAAGTGTTGCCCAAACCTGTCATGAGGTCGGGTTTATCAAGGGAAAATACAACAAGGGTAAATCTCTCCCTCTCTCTCTCTCTCTTTTCTCTCTCTCCTCTTTGTTTTAGGTTATCTAGATAAGAAATAATTTTTAAAGGCATAATATTCATTATTATTTTTCTAAGGTGATCCTGTCGCTTTTCATGTGAAACTAACGAAGCATTTTAAGAACTTGGTAAAAGGATCCAAACTAATATATGAATCGATTGAAACCAATGTTGGCGAGGGATACAATTCCAAAACAGGAATTTTTACGGCTCCTCGATCCGGAAAGTACGTGTTCGACTGGGCCGTGATGTCATTTCCAAATAAAGTGTCCGAAACCACTTTGATGGTAAACGGTGTCGCAAAAGACCTGAATTACTGCAAAAATGTAAAAACATGGCCCCACTGCAGCAAAATGACGATAGTGAACATGAATGCTGGAGATCTTGTCTGGATTGCAGTTTCCTCAGACAAAGCTAATGTGCACAGCGGATACACAACATTCTCTGGATTTAGATTATAAAAATGTTTCTTTTTTTATAATCTTATTTGATTCATATTAAAAATATAATAAGCAGCAGATAATATGCAAGTACATTATAAAACAGTATTGTTGTTATTTCCTCATACAATAATTGGGAAGTTTTGTCTTTATAAATGTCTCCGTTGTGAGACACAGCGAAGTATACGGCATGTTAAGTCAAAATTAGAGATCTAAAATCAACACAAAAGCAAGAATATGGGAAAAAAGTAACATGAATCTTAAAATGTCTATTATTTAATACTTTAATACAAAATATATATGTAAGACTCCAAAGTCCGATGGTGATGCCAAAGTTCGATGGTCTCGCCAAACCCGGATAGACTGCTCCGAACCCCGATGGCTCGCTGTCTTTACGGATGCCAAAGTCCGATGGTTACGCCGAAGTCCGATAGCTCGTTTCCTATGAGACACGTTGCGCTAAATTGCGATGTTCTGACACGCCAAAGTCCGATGGTGCGGAGGAACAATTAACGTTTATGACGTCACAATTGTCCGACGTCATGACGTCGCACTGCATTCAAAATCCAATATTTACATTAGCTGTGTTTTTCTACTAAGCAAACAGTGAAATTGATTTGAAAACCATTTTCGTGTATACTCACGCGTAGAAATATATACGGGGAAACGTGCGTTAACGTGACGTCACAATGAGACTGCAGCAACGTTAGTAAAAATGCAACGATATAGGGCAGCGAGAAATTCAAATAATAAGTATATTTTAGTTGCTTCCAAACATGTAAAATGTAACTATAAGCAATGTTTTTAAGTTTAGTGTGAATTATTGGTGTGAGAATCACACAGACTTGCACGTAGGCATATTTTTCATGAAGCGCTTCATTAAATATACCTATGTGACAAGTCTGTGTGATTCACACACCAATAACTCATACAAAATATTTGATTCAGTATTCGTCTCGCATACATGCCTATTGTTTTCAGAGGTATTAGCGCTAGTACTTGTACACCATTCGACTAATAAGAGGTTTGTCCTTGAACACTAATGTGTTTCTTCGAACCCACCCAAGAGATTTTAGGGTTAGTTTTTTGCACACTGACTTGGGTTAGTCCTGCACCCACCCAAGATTTTTAGGTTTTAGTTGTTAAACATTTTACGACTGATCAGTGTTAGTCTCGCATCCATATTCAAAAGAATGAGGATTAATCTTTGTATTTATGATATTTTGTATTTATCTTAAATAATCGGTCCTCGGCATGGAGCGGCATCACAGTTTGGCACAGCAGTACTATGACGTCATAAACGTTAATTGTTTTCCGCACCATCGGACTTTGGCGTGTCAGACCATCGGGTATTGGCGCAGACCATCGGACTTTGGCGTGACCATCGAACTTTGGAGTCCCATCGCACTTTGGAGTCCTACATATATTAATTCATAAAAATGTATAAAGAACAACATTGCAACATTGCAACATTTAATCAAATCGTTTATTTAATATTTTCAACTTAATTAATACTTTTATACGCTGTAATGTACTTTAAAAGCACATAAAATAAAATGTTTTCAACGCGATGTTAAAAAGATATTTATATCCACAACTTTTCCACTAATAAAAGTAACTCTCACAATATGAAAAGCCTTTCCGTAGCTTGTTCTTGTTACTTGAAACACTAGTGAAGACACGAGAACTTGAGTTGAGTGAAAATGTCATTTATTGACCAGATAAATGACGAAAGTGAACAAAAACACAATATACATACAATCATGTAAATTATAGCTGGGATAAGGCCAAATAATGATTAGTTTCAACTTAGATATGATATATTGCGACTTAGTGCTTATCCCAGCTATTGTTATATAATGATTACCAAGTTTGTGTAACAAGAAGGTGGCGTAAACAAAGAGGCCACACAGCATGCTAAATGCTTGCATGACGCATGCAGCACCACTCAAGGAAAGGCATTTCATAAATTATATACTGCTCAATATTAATTGTAGCAAACATGTGTTATTTAACAGATAATAACATTGTGTACTGAATATCATGTACCCGTATGGACTAAATAAGCATAAACATTAAAAACCCACATAAGCACAAAGTTATATCTGAATAAGTAACAAAATATAAAGGACAAAGGTTACTAAACCTGTGAGTAACATAAGGTTAACGAGACTAAAAAAGAGACCATATGCTACCTCATAAACAACATTAGCTCATTTTTACAATTTACATTTTATGAACATCCATATGCTGAACTTATGCACAAAATTCAGAACAAAATCCTGCTGAGCTCCAACTAACGTACAGTTTTTATAAGCAGCTGTACGCTGACCTCATACACAAATTTTTAAACTTCTAAGCTCATGACATGGTACAATTTTGTAAACAGACATATGCTGACCTGATACACAATTCTCAAGACCAAACTTCAAGCTGAATTCCAACTACCATACATAGATTTTATGAGCAGCTGGATGCTGTCCTCAAGTATATTAGCTCGCAAATTTAAGGGCAATTTGAAGAGTAAAATGTGCATCTAACTAGCACTTAATTTTCAAAGCGAACACTTTGCAAGATCACTGACCAAAGTACTATTTTATTTAAGCAGCTAAATGCTGACCTCGGAAGGTTTAAATTTGTTGTTTCATTTTTGATAGGATGCTTTAAGATTTTACAATTTATCACAGCAACCATTAGCTGGCCTAATAGACTTGATTTATACGTTTAATTACTGAAATGGATGGGAAAAAAGTTTATCAGATTCTAATTAAATTCTGGAAAAAACAAACAACCATATGCTGACTTCTCTCTTTCGAAAGTCGATGGCAGTACATGTATAAGGGGAAACATTTAGTTTGGAATTGATTTATACGTTTAATCACTGAAATGAATGTAAAAAGTTTATCAGATTCTATTTAAATTCTGGAGAAAAACAACCATATGCTGACTTCTATATTTCCATAGTCGATGGCAGTACATGTATAAGGGGAGCATTTAGTTTGGAACTGATTTATATGTTTAATCACTGAAAATGAATGTAAAAAGTTTATCAGATCCTAATTAAATTCTGGAGAGAAACAACCATATGCTGACTTCTCTCTTTCCATAGTCAATGGCAGTACATGTATAAGGGGAGCATTTTGTTTGGAATTGATTTATACGTTTAATCACTGAAAATGGATGTAAAAAGTTTATCAGATCCTAATTAAATTCTGGAGAGAAACAACCATATGCTCACATCTCTCTTTCCATAGTCGATGGCAGTACATGTACGTTTTCTGTGCAGCAAGTCCGCGTAATTTTTGAACGGCCCTCGTATAAAGGAAATATTTATTTTGGAATTTTAACAACAAGTGTGGAATTTAAAACCTGAATGCATTTATTTTAATGTAACGTCTTTTGAGTGCCAACGACCGAGTTGTTGGATTACATTTTCAGATAAACCATTCTTAGCTGCCACTAGCAGTACAAAACTAGCAGTACAAACGCAAAAACTATGACCAACGTAAAGCAATCAGTCGAAAACTTATTGCATGTTTTGATTGGAATGCCACAAAACTGTACTTAACTGGTTCATCAGATTTGAAGGTGAAAAAAGGACCAGATGTGTGTTTATGTTGAGTAATGTATACTTTTAAGGCATAAACTGGACAAAATTGACATTTTAAGTCATTGGCTGTTAAAGGAAGTATCACTGGATGCCTATCATTCATAGTTTGGAATATCTCATTGTTATCTAAAGTGAATTACAGTCCAAATGATCAATAGACTTTTGAGCCTTTCTGAACACCCTAAACAATACCCGACAGTTGATGGTTCTGTTCTATTGGCTGCCACACACCACCAGTATTATCTTTTATTTGAGCCACTTGCTGATTCCGCAGACCAGGTTGATTTATCAGTTGGTTGCTTCTATTTGATTAGCCGATATTTGATTGGATCCGCAAGAGCATGCTCTACGTATGAACAATTTCTAAAACGAGGTAAATTGTTGACAAACAACTTGATGAAACAAGAGCATACGGCGGGAGTGACAAATGATTACTTAAACCAGACTATTAATATGCTTGTTTCATCAACTTGTTAATCAATTACGTAGAAATTGTTCATACTTAGAGCATGCTCTTGCGTATCGAATTGTTTGAGAGATATAAATCCCGTATGCAGTTGATAAAGGTATAATTACTTTATACGTAAAGAAGTTGACAATCGAAAATTAAAGTCCTATACGTTTAAGATCTTTGTTTTGTACATATGTTTTTGAAACAATAACAAAGAAGGTAACAATAATCAGGCCCCGAGACCATACACTGAGAATAGACTTAAGTCAAAATTTTGATTTTGAATAGCATGTGATTTATAATACATAGCTTCTTAAAGTTTTACAGGCTTTTGTTATATTCCAATTGAAACATATGATAAAAATTTTGTTTTGTTTTTTAAATCAAAATAACTTAAGTCTATTCTCAGTTTATGGTCTTGGGGCCAGGTAGCAATGGGTCACAGTTTGTAGTTATGGAAATTGTAATAGATTGATGAAGGATTTAGAATCCAAAGATGCACAAATATTTGAAAAATAAAGCTTTTTTAATTAAAAAACAAACAATCTCAGAATACTTGTACGAGAATGGTTTTTAACAATGAAACACCACACCTCAAACATACTATTACAAGGCCATCTTTGATATTATTTTTGCTTGCCCTCTCCCGATCAAGGGTAAAATTATTGGGTCCGTAGGTAGGTGAGAATTTTTTAAAAAGAAAACTGCAAGATATCGGTTGACTGGATATGAGGAATAAAAAGAAAAATAAATACCCCCGGTATCATGTCCAGCAATGTAAAAAAAAAATTAATCGGGCGATTTCTTGTCAGTTTATCGGGAGAGGGCAACCATACAATTGCTTAAAGTTGGCCTAGCACAGTAAATTTTTGCACAAAATGTGCATACATGGTATATTGGTATACCTTTTTAAGATCAAAATTTTCAATTTATTTCAATTAGGCCTATAAAGAAAACACTCTATATTTTCTCAGAATATAGACTCAGATAAGGATTAGTGATTATTGCA